TGGTCATTATTCTTGACCTCTCTTGACCTCAAATTCCATCCCAGAGCTGCATAGTCAAGCTGGCTTAGCAGGTAGCGTCTGGGATCCTTTCAGACGTAAGTTCGAGCCCTCATCACGGCCCTTGTGGCTTTGTTCCCCTGCTAAACACCTCAACCTATCCCCTACCATCTATCATAATCACATTACTCAAGATATCATTATTCCTCAAGCGTTCTCGAGTCAAAGATGTTTTCCCAAAATTCTGTATTTTGCATTTTGTTTAACCTTATGTTAAGGATTTTTCGCTGATGTTCTTCCCTAGCGTCGCATCAAGACCACGGTGAAACGAGAATTGCCTCTCTGCTCCACATATGCTCGTTAAAACCTCATTAGGGGCTTTTTTCCCCTGTCCTTAACCGAATGAACCTAATATCCATATATTGCATCATTCAACATGATCTCACGCAACACCACCTTGTCTATGTTAGGCTCTGAGGATAAATAATATGTGAGTTTCATACATACGGTGATATGTGAGCCATTAAGTTGATGTAGCAATGGTTTAATCCACCATTTACAAATTGGATCTGCAATTTGCCCATTTCTTGTGAGTTGCAAGCATCAATCACTGCAAATCTCTCACCCATGGGATCACCATAGCCCGTGCTGCTTGAAACTTTTTGTTCCAAGTAGCGAAGCTTAAACAGCATCTCACCCTTTTCCACTATTTTTATTGGAGTTTTATATAAAAATCCTCTTTAGGGGTAAATTCTGCAGCTTCCATGGTAAGGTAAATTTTATCTCATCTTACCTTTCATCTAAGGTAAATTCCTCTCAGAATATATGTTAGATATATTTTTACATTGTGCTAATTTTAAGTCTCAAATTCTTGAGATTAATTAATGTAAATTAGCAATTTGTCTAGTTCTGTGGTCGAGATTTGAGTATTTGTCTCATATGCTTAGTGCATTCCATGCTAATGTATATATTAATGTATATTATGTATATTAATGTATATATGTATGCTAAACAGGATACCCGGCGTTGCTCGGGGGTTTGAGGCAATATTTTCACTACATATTTTAGTTGCATAATTCTTTACTACAAACTGTCTTCATCACTGTAATCATCTTCACCTCCCGGGCACAGCCGGGTACTGCATTTATAACTATCATTCTTACCATTCTGAATCATCATTCCCTACCCTTCACCACCTTCTGTACCCTTCACCATCATCCCTACTCTTCACTACCTTCCCTACTCTTCAGCACCTTCTCTGCCGATTCAACACACTCCGTCCCTTCTATTCTCTCCCTTTCTATTCTTCACCACCTTGCACGCGCGTGTGTGTGTGTACTCACCTAGTTGTGTCTGCAGGATCGAGCATTGACTCTTGGATCCCGCCTAAATGGATAGCTCTCAGCCAGCTAACAGGAGTCAGCAGTCGTCTGCTCCTGTACCCACCTGTGTGTGTGTGTGTGTGTGTGTGTGTGTGTGTGTGTGTGTGTGTGTGTGTGTGTGTGTGTGTGTGTGTGTGTGTGTGTGTGTGTGTGTGTACTCACCTAGTTGTGTCTGCAGGATCGAGCATTGACTCTTGGATCCCGCCTAAATGTATAGCTCTCAGCCAGCTAACAGGAGTCAGCAGTTGTCTGCTCCTGTACCCACCTGTGTGTATGTGTGTGTGTGTGTGTGTGTGTGTGTGTGTGTGTGTGTGTGTGTGTGTGTGTGTGTGTGTGTGTGTGTGTGTGTGTGTGTGCGTGCGCAAGCACAACAGTTTCTATCAGTGCAGAGTTGTGTAGGTGGTCCATTGATGTTAAAACAATTACCTCTGTTTTTTGCTTCTTGTCAACAACTGGCAACAAATAAGCCAGCAGACAATGCTGTTTCAATTTACATAAAATCACTTTGGGTAATTGGCTAAATTGGGCGAATCTGTATGATGAACTTCATTTTCACAATCAATCATTCTGTGTTTTGTATTGGTAGTTGATGAGTTGTTTATGCAATGACTGTTCACGTTACAGTATGTAACCTATTATATGGGGCAATGAAGCTATGGGAAGGGAAAGCTCTCAGCCTGCTAACAGGAGTCAGCAGTCGTCTGCTCCTGTACCCTCCTGTGTGAAAAACTAGTAGGGTAAGGCTTACCATGAGCTATGGGAAGGGAAAGCTCTCAGCCAGCTAACAGGAGTCAGCAGTCGTCTGCTCCTGTACCCTCCTGTGTGTAAAACTAGTAGGGTAAGGCTTACCATGAGCTATGGGAAGGGAAAGCTCTCAGCCAGCTAACAGGAGTCAGCAGTCGTCTGCTCCTGTACCCTCCTGTGTGTAAAACTAGTAGGGTAAGGCTTACCATGAGCTATGGGAAGGGAAAGCTCTCAGCCAGCTAACAGGAGTCAGCAGTCGTCTGCTCCTGTACCCTCCTGTGTGTAAAACTAGTAGGGTAAGGCTTACCATGAGCTATGGGAAGGGAAAGCTCTCAGCCAGCTAACAGGAGTCAGCAGTCGTCTGCTCCTGTACCCACCTGTGTGTAAAACTAGTAGGGTAAGGCTTACCATGAGCTATGGGAAGGGAAAGCTCTCAGCCAGCTAACAGGAGTCAGCAGTCGTCTGCTCCTGTACCCTCCTGTGTGTAAAACTAGTAGGGTAAGGCTTACCATGAGCTATGGGAAGGGAAAGCTCTCAGCCAGCTAACAGGAGTCAGCAGTCGTCTGCTCCTGTACCCTCCTGTGTGTAAAACTAGTAGGGTAAGGCTTACCATGAGCTATGGGAAGGGAAAGCTCTCAGCCAGCTAACAGGAGTCAGCAGTCGTCTGCTCCTGTACCCTCCTGTGTGTAAAACTAGTAGGGTAAGGCTTACCATGAGCTATGGGAAGGGAAAGCTCTCAGCCAGCTAACAGGAGTCAGCAGTCGTCTGCTCCTGTACCCTCCTGTGTGTAAAACTAGTAGGGTAAGGCTTACCATGAGCTATGGGAAGGGAAAGCTCTCAGCCTGCTAACAGGAGTCAGCAGTCGTCTGCTCCTGTACCCTCCTGTGTGTAAAACTAGTAGGGTAAGGCTTACCATGAGCTATGGGAAGGGAAAGCTCTCAGCCAGCTAACAGGAGTCAGCAGTCGTCTGCTCCTGTACCCACCTGTGTAAACAAACTCATTATTTGATGTGTTAGGTGAGTTTTGATTACATAAATATAAAGTTTAACCTTTTAAAGATAGTTTAATTGTATTTAACTTCTCACTAATATTGTATATTGTTAGCTGTGTCCAAACTTGTTTAATTTCACTGCAAGTTGTAATCAAAGATAACTGAAGAGTAAATAGGAATGAAACAGAGATACAAAGAGACCTCCACAATTACTATTCCCAGATAAGTTATAATTACGTTTAAAAAATATGGGATTACCTTGTGTGCTTGCTGGGTATATCCCACCCATTGTCATAATAATTTATCAAGCAAACAATATATGGGATATTTTGACCAGACCACACACTAGAAATTGAAGGGACGACGACGTTTCGATCGACTTGAGAATGGTCCAGGACGGACCGAAACGTCGTCGTCCCTTCAATTTCTAGTGTGTGGTCTGGTCAACATACTTCAGCCACGTTATTGTGACTCATCGCCTGCAATATATGGGATATATAACAAGGGACTTTTATAAGTGATGGAATATATTTCAAGTGTTCTAAGTGTTTACAATCAAAAAGTAAACAGAGCACACCTTCTCATCCGTACTTAAATGATTTTACTTATCGTAAGTATTTTGGGCGAAGGAAGGAACTAGGAGGAGAAAGCGCCAAGCCATTAAGACTATATAGCCCTGGGAATGGGTCAGGATAAGGATTTGGGATGGGATGGGGTATAGGAATGGTGCCCAATCATTGGACGGTCGGGGATTGAACGCTGACCTGCATGAAGCGAGATTGTTGCTCTACCGTCCAGTCCAAGTGGTTGGGCACTATTTGGTCAAGAGAGTATGTAGTGATGGACCACCAAAACGTTGACTTTTGTTTCACTGAATTTAACGTGATGGGAAACAATTTAACCGTATCGTAAATACAGAACCTAATTCTCATAGCAATCTTAGGCCTAACACACGCTATCTTAGTCCTAATGTAGTATGTATATACGGGCTATATTAGGCCTGGAATTGTTTGATTTCAGGTTATAGAGTTTTTGTAGATCCTAAACAATTTAAAGTACAAAAAGTTAACTTTTTGGTAGTCCATCAGTACATATAGTTACTATAAGTGTGGCCATTTCAAGACGATACTTAAGAAAACAAGTACAAACAAGTACAAATACCTGAGACGATTTTTGGGAGTAAAAGTAATTTTTTATGTAGGAATAAATTGATTACAATAAATTGTGTCATGTCGCGTTCCATTAATTTAGTGAATAAAAAATTTATCAGTATACATTTCTCTTTTTGTGAATTTATATCTCTTTTTTGTGAAATTTTGTGAATTTTTCTCTAAACAAAATTTCCCGTGTTGCATTTTTTTAAATTTTGAGAGAATATTATTTTTGTTTACCTCGTCGTATTTCTCTTAATTCGTGTTATTTCGAAAGCTTTCTTTCACCCTTGAGGATATTCCCTTCCCTGGCCAGTAGTCGTCGAAGCGTGACCCAGACCATTACTGGACAGGAAAAATATTACCTCTAAATCTGTTCAGATGTCTGACCAAAAATTGTAATCCAAGGAATATGAACATAAAAGAATTTCAGTTTTGCTCTGGTAATATTTGCTGAGCTTGAAAACATTGGTTTGAGGTCTTTCATTTGTCTGATTGTAGGTTAATATCGAATTTTATGTCTTAGAAGTTCTTAAATATTATTACCTAATGTTTGATGAATCTTATCTTTGCTGGAGCAAGAGTTTAGAAATGTTAGTAGTTGATATATTGCCTTATTAGATGTGATATATTTTTAGATTATGTCACAGATCTTCTAAATATGATTCTACTAAACAAGGTGACACCTTTTTTAGGGGGAAAAGGGAGTAGTAGTGGAAGAAGGCTGTCACTTACCTTTGCTGGGGTAGGAGTTAAGTAGCAATAGAAGCAGCAGGTAGATTGTCCTAATTAGTGTAGGTTTCCTCTCATGTAACTCCTTCATGGTTCCTGAATGTGTCTTCCGAGGGCCATTGAGACCAAAGCTTCAACTATATCCACAATATATTGACTAAATTACTTGACATAAACCAATTATAATCATTTTTTAACAGTCAGAAACATATTTATTGAAAGGAAATCTATTTATAAATTATTTCACACGTTTTCAGTCTATATCAATGTAAGTCTTTAGCATATTTTTCAACACAATTATCATCTGAAGCAACAATTAACACTTTACAATTATTATTGTCACTTTTTGAAGGAATTTGATTCTGTTTATTGCATAATTGCACGGTAAAAGGCTCTCGCTCTCCGGTAGTTCTGAAAAGAAAAACAGAATAAAAATTTTCATCATAAATTTTCAAATTATAATTTTAAAAAATTTGAATTGGACATTTTTTTATTGAAAGACAATATTTTTTGTATTAATACAATTTCTAATTTAAATAAAAGAATTTATAGTTTTGATTCGATAATGTTAATAATTAACCAAATAATTTTCATTTATATTAAGACACCAAATAAAACAGTTTTAATAAGAGAATTTCTTATTATACTTAGATAATAAAAAATTAACTAGATTATTTCAAATTTTAACATGACAATATCCATTTTTGATAAGTCGTTTTCAAATTTTACTAAATTTTCAAATCTTAATTAGATTATTTCGAATTTTAATAGGAGTATTTTGAATTTTAATAAGATTATTTCGGATTTTAATAGGAGTATTTTGAATTTTAATAACAATTTCCATTTTTAACAAGTCAATTTCCAATTTTAATAAACTTTCAACTTTGAATAAGATAATTAACATTTTTAATTAAATACTTACCAAATATAATTGGATAATTTCCAATTTAAAAAAAGACTGAAATACCTTAATGGCATTAGCAACAGCCATGATTTAGGTATACAAGATGAACAAGCTTGTTAGCTAAGCTTCAGAGAACGACCTTGAACGACTCAGTTTATAATACCATCATTCAAGGCGCATGTAGGCTAATGATTCTGTTTAAAACACCATATGACCTCTTTCCCTGTCTGATAATCAAGGGGTAACGAATGCAGATAATTAAGGCATAATGAATGCTGATAATCAAGGCATAATTAATGCTGATAGTCAGGATAAGGATTAAGATAATGTAACTACTGTTGATTATTGGGTAATGTGTTTCAGTGAGAGAACTGAAGCAGTGCATGAAAGTGAGATAAAATATAGTGCCTGAAAGTGTTTTATAAGAAAGTAAAAAAAATTGAGTGCATGATATGTCTATCATGCACTCAATTTTATCATGAAACTCAATTATACAATATTGCATGAAAATGATAGACACTATAGTACATGAGAATATGATACTGGTGAGCATTAAAATTATAGATACGGTATTGTGTGTTTGTAGGCCAGAGCTAAATAAAATATCACATGAAAAAAAAATATTTAAAAACGCCAAAAATAGGGACAAAAATCTAAATAAAAAACCCATCATTGGATAACCAACAAACACACAACATTCAAGCAACGTTTAACGTTGGTTTAACGTTAATAAAACGTTGTGTTTTTGTTCAGTGTTCTATTGGGATATTTAATGTTTTGTTCATGTTTATTACGTTCTTAGTCACTGTAACTACGATAAATAACGTAGTGGCTATGAAATGAAATTGAAATCGAAATTGAAATTGAAAAACTTTATTTATAAATGTTTGTATATTTACAGTTGGGTCAAATTTTCACTAAAATTTTTACCAAAAGGAAAATCATAATGTCTCCTGGGCAGTTAAATAAAAAAAACTGTCTATAATGATCATGCAAATGCAATATGATTTTTTTTAATACGATAATATACATATTTAAAAGTAGTTGATTTTAAAAATAAATTATAAAATGTTATTTTTTTGTGCGTATGTGTAGGTCCACGAGAAACTTTTATACTTTGTAGAAAAGACTTGAGGGATTTTTGGAACTGAAAAAAGAGGTATATGATTTTAGTCTTTTTACTATGTAGGAATTTTGGACTTTTCTTAACGATCTACATACATTAATGCGTGTCATGATTCGAGGAAACAATTCAGTTGGCTTTTTTTGGTGATTTTTTTTCAACTCGAAAAGTATATGGAAAAGTATATGTAAATATACATATTTACAAACGGGGGTACCACCTCTGGTGCAAGTGTAGGGACCCATAGCCTTGGAGAAGAAAATAATGAGTACTCGATAACGAAATGAAAGACCGACTGGGATCTTGCTTGCTACTCTCTGCTGACGCTGTATCTCCCTCTCTCTCTCTCTCTCTCTCTCTCTCTCTCTCTCTCTCTCTCTCTCTCTCTCTCTCTCTCTCTCTCTCTCTCTCTCTCTCTCTCTCTCTCTCTCTCTCTCTCTCTCTCTCTCTCTCATAATAATTTTTTGTTTACCTTTTCCCTACGGCTGTTAAGTGAATAAATCATAATTTTTTGGTACACTGTAAACATAATATGTGGAGAGAGATCAGACAGCAGACTCTGGCTCTTCCTGTCAGTCTCCCTGTATACAATACACCGATAATTACTTTGGGGCAAATTGGATTAAAATTTTATATTGCAGGTCTCCTATGGAATTCGAAACATGTCAATCCCCATCCAATATTGGTGAAAAGAATCATGTTACTCTCTTGGGGAATGGGTTCCTGCTGACTAAAAGGTGTCAGAGGATTGGATAATGGGAAAAAATGAGTAATATAGCCAGTACTATTTGTAGTCTGTTCATTCTCAGTTTACTCATTCTCAGTTTAATGGGATATTTAATGTTTTGTGTAAGTTTATTACGTTCTTAGTCACTGTAACTACGATAAATAACGTAGTGGCTATGAAATGAAATTGAAATCGAAATTGAAATTGAAAAACTAATTCATAAATGTTTAAATATTTACAGTTGGGTCAAATTTTCACTAAAATTTTTACCAAAAGGACCAATTTTTTTACCAAAAATTTTTACCATTCTCAGTTTACTCATTCTCTACTCTTGGCCAAACTACAACATTCTCCAGCAACCAACGCTCAAGCACTACTCGTCTTAGCTGCTGTCGCTTAAGTAGCAACATTCGTCACTTTCCTCTGCACTTTGAAACACGTTTCTCAAATATTCATTGATATATTATTTAGTATAATTTTGTGTATAATTGACACTAGGTTAGGTTATGTTAAGTTAGGTTAGGTTAGGTTAGGTTAGGGGTTAGGTTAGGTTAGGTTAGGTTAGGTTAGGTTAGGTTAGGTTAGGTTAGATACTTTATTTTGGTGAGATTATTATTAGAACAATTCTTAAGCTGGTAAGACTATGTAGCACTTAGAAGACATATGAGGACAAGGAGCTGGGATATGAGGACAAGGAGCTGGGATATGAGGACAAGGAGCTGGGATATGAGGACAAGGAGATGGGAAATGAGTTCAAGGAGCTAGGATATCATTTCAATTAGATGGGATATAAGAACAAGGAGCTGGGGATATGAGGACAAGGAGCTGGGATATGAGGACAAGGAGCTGGGATATGAGGACAATTAGATGGGATATAAGAACAAGGAGCTGGGGATATGAGGACAATTAGATGGGATATAAGAACAAGGAGCTGGGATAGCTGGGATATGAGGACAAGGAGCTGGGATATGAGGACAAGGAGCTGGGATCTGAGGTCAAGGAGCTGGGATATGAGGACAAGGAGATGGGATATGGGGTCAAGGAGCTGGGATATCAGCTAGAATAGGAGCTAAGATAGCAGCTAGAATAAAAGCTAGGATAGCAGCTAAAATAGGAGCTAGGATAGCAGTTAGAATAGGAGCTAGGATAGCAGCTAGAGTAGGAGCTAGGATAGCAGCTAGAATAGGAGCTAAGATAGCAGCTAGAATAAAAGCTAGGATAGCAGCTAAAATAGGAGCTAGGATAGCAGTTAGAATAGGAGCTAGGATAGCAGCTAAAATAGGAGCTAGGATAGCAGCTAGAATAGGAGCTAGGATAGCAGCTAGAGTAGGAGCTAGGATAGCAGCTAGAATAGGAGCTAGGATAGCAGCGAGAATAGGAGCTAGGATAGCAGCTAAAATAGGAGCTAGGATAGCTAGAATAGGAGCTAGAATAGGAGGACGGAGGGAACAATCGCTCTACAATCACTCAAACAATCGATATCATAATATTCCATCTTGAAGAATTACCTGTGTTTGCCTCAAATATTTACACAGGTGTTTGCATCATTTAAGTGCAATGTTGGTTTAGAGAAATAACATATGTTGAAGCGAGGTACATATAACACTATTACATATTATAATCACCGTACATAATCAGTAATCAGTACATAATCAATTATAATCACTATTTATTAAACTATAGTTTGATCAAAGCTGTCAAATAACTATCAATCATAACTTACTGTTATGTGATAGTCTGCTGAAGAACAAATGGAAGAACAGATATTGTTTTGTAGAGAACAATTTCGCCATTTTTAAATGTAATTATATTGAAAATGAAAGGGGAAATTCAATGCCAGAACTTCAGTCGAGTATAAAACTTTAATTGTCAAGCAAATTATATTATACCCAAAACAGTTTGTCCATGGTGTGGCCTACAGAAAATTTTATTGAAATTGATTCATCTGTTGTGATTCTGGATAAAAATAATAACATCAAACGACTCTTTGTCTCATGTGAATCATATATGTGAATGACATTCTGTCTCTCTGTCTGTCTGTCTGTGTCTGTCTGTCTGTCTCTGTCTGTCTGTCTGTCTGTCTGTCTGTCTGTCTGTCTGTCTCTCTCTCTCTCTCTCTCTCT